ATTTGTAATGTTAATCGCATGTAGAGTACATGTACTTGTCCCATATACTCAAATTTTATTCAATACTCGCATAATACTGAGTGTTTTTACAACACTGACTCAGATATTCTGCTAGGAGCCTACTGGTACACTGGATAACATGTACACACAGATATCAATGTATGGTTACCTCATATTCTCAATTGGTAATATTCGACACACAACTGCAAAAGATTCCTTGGTATAGGCATATAACTTTAATTGCTTATGTATAAAACGGAACTTACTTTATGATAACAAAACAGACAATTAATCCAACTAGTATTTATATAATCTACACACTTTAGTGTATTTATAACATTTTACAGAAACCTTACACTTTAAGATTGATTTCACTGTACATTCTTAAATCAAATCAACCAAACAGATGAGATCAATCAAATGCTCACTTTATTGAGTATAGAGAAAGTTCAAACTTTATTTAAATAGTCTTACTTTATGGAATTTGATTAATGAAAAGATGGGAGATTAGAAATAAAACATGGAAATCCTGAATAGTTAAAGATAAATTATTTTGAAGCTATCCAAAAATGAGAGTCTTATGTAAATAGATAATTTTTTATTCATATGGATGAAAAGAATTGAGGATTGATGCACTATTAGACATGCACGGTAGTTGAAGTCGTAAATGGTGAATAAGGTTTCAATTTACGACCCGAAAGTCGAATAATGAAGCAGTAGCAATACAGATTTACTTAAGAATAATCATACTACGATTCCTTATAATTCAGTGTATTTTACAATTATTTTCTTAAAGATACTAAGAAAAGGCTGTTCATTTGAGTACATTTGGTTTCGATTACCTCAGTTATGTAACAATTCAGATGAAATTTCGTATACACATTCACGTGTTCAACCCTGCTTTTGTTATAATGAAGACTTGCATGTATTGTGTGATCAGTCACGTGCATTAATATAGCCAAATGACACCTGTTCATTGTAAACCGAACTAATAATATTAAGCTTCAGGATGAATAGCTATCGAAAAGACTAGGCTAACTAGCAAAGAAAGTTGTGTTACTTAGTGAAAATTACACAATAATAAACAAATATTTTTATTACATATGGATTGTGACTAACACTGGAACACAGAATACACACCCCGTCTGATTTGTTTATAGTTAGCTGGATGTCCCTAGTCCGTAATGTTGATGTTCGCATTGAAATCGGGACCTAAATATATTAAAATTGTGTAAATAAAGGAATTATCATGATAACGTGCAGAGGATTCACATATTCCAGTACAGACTGGTTAACTATAGCTTATAATATCAACAGTGAGAATATTCAATAAACAGAAAACTTAGTGAAAATAATAGATCTGATTAAAATCCATTTAAAATAGTACATGAATGCAAGATTCGGATTTTGGGAATTATTCACCAGCCTACTAATTCGAGACCTGACTATTAGACTTAAATTTTTCTTCACTATGTTAAATTCTGACATTATGTGCTAATTTATTTTGTTATAACTTGACGTGGTTCTTCACTACTTTTATTTATACACTTTCCTTCTTGTATTAAATGTAATTTATGACCATGAATGCTTTCCACCTACCTATAAATTTCTCTATCGACAACTAACATTTCATTTTATGAAACTAGTTTTTCGTACAAACCTATTGATTTATAATTTACTATGGTTACTCATTAATGCGTAGATACTTCAGATATTGTTATGTAGATTTTTGCATACAATATATTATTTTATGACTATAATATACCTATGTTGAGAGAAATATCCGTTCGAATGCACATATTATCGATTGACAGTATATATCTATTATGAAAAATGAATTTTGATGGGAACAGATGAATCAATCGAAGCGTCCTTTTTAACAAACCAATTGAAATATCTAAAACTATGCAAAATAGAATTATGACAATGTTTTTCTAAACAGAAAAACTTATATGCTGTAAGATTCATAATTGTTTAGATGAAAATAACAAGAACAAAAACCTATCTGAAGTTTGTGCTGATGATGTCGTTCAAAGGAACGATGAAAGCTCCAAGACCAAATTATCCAGCTCAGAGAACAAAAATCCATCAAAATCATCCACCTGAGCTATAAATCTTCTCCATCATCACAAAAACCTTCAAAATAGTTCTTATGATAAATTTGGAACACATAAACATAGCTAATCTTTCTTTTTATAGAATCACAAAAAAAAGCCTGAAATAAACTACATTATACGTAAACCAGCGATTAACAAAATATCACGACAATCGCAACTACCATGTATTAAAATTGATTACTGTGTAAATTAGATACAGAAATTCGACGCTCGATTTAATCGACTGATCATTAAACTTCATTTTGTTAGTTTAATCATCTCAATTAGCAATCATTATTATCAGTATTATGGGAGGAAAACAATAGTTCATACTATCATAATACTTTTTATTGTTGAAACAAAATTCGTTGTTAACTTAGTCAAGTCTATTCAACACTTTATATACGTCAGCTAATATGTAAAGCTTTAAAGATCGTTTTATGTGAAGTAGTTTCAATACAATTGATAAAAGGATAAATTAATCGAAATGTTTTGATAATGATACTTACTTACTTACTTACGCCTGTTACTCCTCGTGAAGGAGCATAGGACGCTCACCAGCATTCTCCATTCAACCCTGTCCTGGGCAATCCTTTCTAGCTTCGTCCAGTTGTAATTCATCGTTTTCATATCTGCTTCTATTATCCGAGGCAATGTGTTCTTTGGCCTTCCTCTTTTTCGTTTCCCTTCAGGATTCCAAGCTAGGGCTTGCCTCGTGATGCAGTTTGACGATTTGCGTAATGTATGTCCTATCCATTTCCATCGTCTTTTCCTAATTTCTTCTTCAGCTGGAAGTTGGTTTGTTCTCTCCCACAGAAGGCTGTTGCTGATGGTATCCGGCCAATGGAAATCGAGTATCTTGTGTAGAGAACTATTTATAAATACTTGTACCTTCTTGATGGTGGTTGTTGTAGCTCCCTAAGTTTCAGCTCAGTACAGTAGAACTGCATTGACATTCGTATTGAAGATTCTCATTCTGATATTGGTTGACAGTTGTTTTGAGTCCCATATATTGTTCAAATGTAGGAATGCAGCCCTTGCAATCCTCGACTTAACGTCTGAATCTGAACCTCCTTGTTCATCGATGATGCTTCCCAGCTATGTGAAGGATTCTACATCTTCCAGAGTTTCGCCATCAAGAGTGATTGGATTGTTGTTTTCCGCTTTGAATTTCAGGACCTTAGTTTTCCCCTTGTGTATGCTGAGGCCTACTGATGCAGAGACTGCTGCTACACTGGCTGTCTTCATCTGCATCTGTTCGTGTGTATGCGATAGGAGGGCTAGGTCATCTGCGAAGTCCAAATCGTCTAATTGATTTCGAGCTGTCCATTGTATTCCGTGTTTTCCTTCAGATGTCGAGGTCTTCATAATCCAGTCGACCACCAGAAGAAAGAGGAAGGGAGAGAGTAAACAGCCTTGTCTGACTCCGGTCCTTACTTGGAATTCATCTGTCAGCTGTCCTCCATACACGACTTTGCACTGTAGTCCGTCGTATGAGTTCCGGATAATGTTGACAATCTTCTCAGGAACTCCGTAGTGTCGAAGAAGTTTCCATAATGTCCTCCTATCTACACTGTCGAATGCTTTTTCATAATCAATGAAGTTGATGTATAGTGATGAGTTCCACTCAACTGATTGTTCGACGATGATCCGTAGTGTTGCAACTTGGTCTGTGCATGATCGATCCTTACGGAATCCAGCTTGTTGATCTCGAAGTTGGGCGTCTACTGCAGCATCTCTCCCGTAGCTAGCCTTTTCTGTCCAGCTTGGGTCCAGTGGGTTTCGCTGATTCCCAGTACTGCTAAGTTGTATCTCCTCATTTCCATTGCTATTTGACTGGTCTTCCCGGTTTCCCACATTGTTCGAACGTTCCATGTACCTATAAAAAGTTTTGCTCTGGTTGTTAGAAGGGACATCGGCCTCGTGGCTTCCGAAGGAACTCGGCTTTCACCATGAAGCGTCATAATTCTTCTAAATGAAGACCTTCTAACTCCCAGGGTAGAGTTTAAATGGTTTGGATTATTTTTTCTGGTAAGCGTTTTTTTAGCGAGTTAGTTTTCTACGGGATGGGGACGCTAACCCCATGCCCAACCCTCCTCCTTTACCCGGGCTTGGGACCGGCAGTAACCCTATGAGAGCTACAGGCGGAGTTTTGATAATGATAACTTCAAGATAAATCATTTCTTCCATTTTACTCAAAAGAAATATGTGAATTCATCGAAAAACCACTAAATAGTAGTAATCAGTTAAGTTTGTACTTACTGAAATCATCTAATAAATTACACTGAAAAGAAGTGATTGTAAATTTGAAAAACTGAATCGACAAAATATTTTAATTACATTGAAGAGAAAATGAAAATTTCATTTTATAAGTTTCAGATAACATACCATACCATACTAGAGAATTAATTGACTAAGTTATTGTTTCAGTTAAACAGGTTTGTGGGTATCACACTACCATCGTTGGACTAGATAGTTTCGAATAAATTAAGCATTGGGTAGAAAGTTAATAATAAATACGTTTTTGTGATAACTCGGTGAGCACTTATTGGGATATCATAGAAATATATTTAATACTAGTTAAATGGGCATTTAAATTCGAGTGTAACTCAGTGACAAAATTTTGTTTCTTGTAACCAGCTTTGAGCTACACTTCATACCTGAAATCTAGTGATACAACCCGAAATAGGTGGAGCACAATTCGCATATGCTTACCAACCAGCAGTTAAAGATTAACTTTTAAAATAAACAGACCACGAAACAGAATAAGAGTTACGGTTTCTGTGTAATATATTAACAAAGTAAAATAAGCTTTAATTAAAACGACCGATCCATTAAGAAATAACACTAAATAAAAAGTATTTTCACTTGAGATTTCCTTTTATCTAACTAAAATTTCTTTCAGGCGCATGTCCATCTGATGAGGTGGGGAAAAATTATGATAAAAGTTTGGATTGCTTAACATATTGCCGAATTAATGAATATTTCAAAAATATATGGTTTACTTGGATAGTAAAATTAACAAAACAAAATGTAGTCATTAGAAGAAATAATATTTTTAGAGTATAATATCATGCTAGTTAAAACTTCTAAGTAAAGTGTACATACAATCTTGAGGAACCCGATGTTTCCTGTGGAGTTCAAACAATCGACAAAAAATCCAGTTTGACAAATTAAAAACATGGACCAATCCATTATCATGTTTAAAGTAATCAAGAATGCCTAGATTAAAATAACAAAATTGCATTTAGTTAACAGGTAAAATTGACAGAACCAATAAGATAGTCGAGTTCTACTTAAAAGAATATACTGTACGCAACATAAAAAACTCAGTTCCCTACTGTATTTATCTAGTGTTCTGTTCTCAACAATATCAGTCTTCAATGATTAGTTTTATATGCGCGTTGTATTTCGTATCTACGCATCAGCAAGCTACACACATATTTTGCTTTTTAATAGGAGCACAAATAATAAACAGAAGTGCTGAGAACTGTACTCGCTCTTTACTAGGTAATCAGATGGAAATTTCACTTGCGTTACAGATAGCTGAAATATCATACTCGTTAGAAAATGAACAATAAAAATGTATTTTAAGACACTTCCGAAAACAAACATACTAGTTGAACGACTATGAATAGAAAAGAATATTTATTAAATAAATAACCAAAAAGCAATATGTTATTGTTTTGTGAATAACCACAAGTCACAAGTGTACATTAATCACAGTATTGACAGATTGTTGTGGAATAACTTTTAATTCAACAAAGACATAACAAATCAATTGTTAGAAGACTTTAAATAAAGTAATTATTTTTCTTACAAGAAAAAATTATCACAAAGTACTAATATTGAAGGATGGAAGCAAATCACTGAAACAAAATCCATAACAACAAGAAACAGGATGACAACAATGGGTAGTAAGGTGTAAATGCTTAAACAGAAAGGAATTCATTTGACAGTGCTATTTTACTAGATAAGTTGACTATTCTCACGTTCGCACCTCATATTGGCCAGCTTTCGTTGCGTATTTGACCCCTTTAAATGGTTTATATTTCTAAAAGGAGAAAATAGATAGGAACACAAATAAGAATTATATTTAGTAGAGAATTATGGGTCACTTAGTATATATTTACAAAAATTAACAATCACATTGCACTTAGTCACTTGGTACAAAGATGAGATAGCGAAAAGAAAAAACAACCCAAGAAATCCAACATAGCCCGCAAGAACAAACGGATTAATTTCAAATCAATGTTCTGTTATTTTAGTTAATTCATTTTAGCACAAATAAACGAAATTAAGCCTTGATATATATATATATATATATATCGGTTTACTGGATAACAAATTATTCAAATGTCAAATAAATAACAAGCCATTAACGTGCTTGGATGCATTTGTGATAAAAAATATTCTTAACTATGGTTTTAGTAGATCACCCCCAATTACAAATCCCTTTTAAGTTAAAAAAAAGCGGGGTATCCAACTAGAGCACAACTGGGTAAATAATCTAGAAAATAGGGGGTTATGTCCTATGACTCTGTCAGTCATCACGTGAATCATATGATCTTATCCCCGTGTTAAACCAACGATGCGTGAACCAGAACCATGAGTCAACTCTGAGTCTTTATTGGTCCTCTGTATAGTAGCTTCTCGCTCAACCCAGCTCGTTCAGTTCAGAACATAAATATCAGCCATCGCTATATGAATCGTATATTTCAGACGTACTTGATTTATATATAAACAGACCAGACCGCATGACCATAAAATGAAAAATAATTATTATACAAGATCAGGTCAGAAGTGGTCGTGAATGAGAGATACTGTAACTGACAAATTGGGAATAAGTTAAGAAGTCGTATAGCAGCAGCCAATAGGTAAAATGAAAGCTCATAATAAGAGGAATATGTAATGTAGTTGCTTAGTAATTACACAATAATAATATATGTAATAATTGTCTATACGTAACTCCAAGCCGTTACCGTTCATTTATTCTTCGGATATAACAGTGGCACCGTATATCTTTTAGAACTAAAAAATAACTACTTGTAAGTAGTTCGAATACTCACATTAAATTATATGGCAGTCGGCCACATGCAAAAATAACAAATATCTGTGAGAAACTATTTTAACTGATTATCTGATCACACGCAATCAAAAAGAAAATTGGATTCGATTACTAATGTGAGATGTAAATAAGTACTAATAAATGATTTAAGTGCAATTATATACCGGTCATCTTAAGAGCTAGTAAAGGCCTTTACTGTAATATTTCAGATAAATTGGGTAAAACATACCTCTCCATAAATGTCAACTCTAGCAATTTTCAACCCAGATACGACGAATTGTGGAATACAAAAGTTTACGAGGATTACAGGATTTGATGGTAATGTAGTAAGACCACTAACTAAATCGATCTACAAGGATTTTAAGAGTGAGAACACATGGTTGAAAAGGTTATACGATATAATCTAATTTAGAAAGTGATTAGCAGGAATCACTAATTTTAATATCACAAACTGAGCTTATTTAAAAAACAGTTTAAGATCAGGAAGCACCGTAAAATGTCTTACTTCTAAGCAATGTATATGCGGATAAATTTATTGTTCACTTGTTCGATTCGCTTAGTTGGGATGGGGAAGGATTTTACATGACGGGTGAGGTTTATGAGCATTTATAAACCACCATGAAACTATCAATTTACCGTCTGATTACTTTTCATTTTAATTACTATATTTTTGCAGGTTATTTAAAAAAAATTCAAATGTGAAATACTGAAAATTATGATGTATTTGCTATGTTTAATTCAAGCTTTTAGTTTTTAGTTATTCCCTTAATCCATAAGATACAACATAACGATTACAAGATATGCAACAACATATCTATTATCCAATTTCTATAAATAATACCAATCTTTACGCAATATGTCATGTGAATTTACGGTTAAAGTAATTCTTAATGTTACATAAAACAACATTCATTCATTAAGTATTATTTTTATTTGAACACATAGGTATTGGTACAAGGAGGCACCAAATACATATGCGCCACACAAATCACATTTGATTTGTGAGAGGGATGTGATACTGCCCGGGTGCCCAAACCGAAGCAGGTGGTTATCTTAGGGGGCCACACCCGGAGCCTTCGACCTAAAGGTCTAATCCACAAGGCAGTGGAGGAGGAGGAGATGCAGTCCCAACGGTTGCTTTATACGCCATTTGTTCCCGCAGGATACTGGAGCCCATGTGCACCATTGGTTTGAAATCCGGTTAAAGCGCCAGACATTCGCTTTTTGTCCTCTTAATTCCGTAAACAACACCCCCTCCACGAGAAGGCAGTGTGTAGGGCTTTCCTGGCAGAGGCTATATACGCGTGGCCATGTGAGAGCGTTTCGAGAGGGAGAGCGGAGTCTCCCAACTCTCGGCCGTACCACGGCATAACACCTTAATTTAATTTGATAAAAATCAACGCAAGGTTTAAACTTTAATACTTGATCAAACTATTCAAAGACATTAGTCATAGTAGATAACGAATTTTCAAATATATGAACTTTTACTGCAAACTAGACAAATGAAAACATTAGAAAATTACGTAACACTCACACTACTTTTCATTGAAGGATTTGGAGATTTTGTTTCAATTCGACCAATATCCCATTGAAACAATTTTGATGTTACATCAAAACTAGTTCGTCCAACACTTGGAGATGCTGTGATATTTAAAACTTCTGGTGGTAATTGGATGGTAAGTTTTACATTTTCAACCTGTAAGAGGTGAGAAATCAGCATGAATAATATATAATTTGAATATAAAGTAAATACTCTTGTATAATCCTTTTTCGCTCTGTAAATTGGCTGAAAGTTTTTTAATTATTTAGTCAACAGTTTAAGCATATTAAAGTTCTAATCTAATTAGCTTTTACCAGACGATTAAGCTTACAATTTAGTATATAAACTTGTACACAGTTATTAATTCTCATGAATATGTTGCTGACAGCAAAACTTTGATTTTTTGTTTTAATTACGCTACCATTATTCTCTCTATATTAATCAGAGTTAATTATTTGATAGTGAAAAAAAAGTTAAATGATTTACTGAACCGATTATCAAATTTAAAACTACAGGTTATGATTGTTTTACAAGAATAACACTGATTACAGTTGACGTTATAATAAAGTCAAAAAGATCATCTATATCAGCTCCAAGTACAATGAAATATAACTTGATTTTAACGTATTTTATCAGATTTTTACGAGGAAATAAATAACTATTCCGGAGACGACACTTTCGATCATCCAGTTACTTCAAATCACTTATTATTAACAAATAGTGCACACGATGTCAGGTCATTTAGGCTAGTATCAATATCAGAACTTAATCGATAGAATTTAATCAGCGCAAGAGATTGGATAAGTATAAAAATTAATTACTACTCAGTAGTCGGTTGGAGCAGATATCTGAGTGCATAAGTGTATATTTAGAATGATTTGTGTAATATTTTTTTTAAAACAGAAAGACAACTAACACATCTGATTAAAAAAATATGATATGAGATTATTACTGTTTACATAACTCTACATGAAGGTTTTTACTTACAGGTTTACCCATTGTTTTTGGTACTACCACTACATCTAAACGACCTCCACGTTCACGGAGAAGAACATTATGTCTTAGTATGATAGGAAGTGATACAGGGCTATTATTGATTTGTAAATAAAGAAAGAAAGACATTTTGTGTTAAACTGTATTGAGAAATCTGTGAACGAATTTAACATTCTTACACAATAATAATATATTTTATGAACAAATGACTAATTGATCAAGTTATTTTTCTTTAAATCAATAAATGCTTCGATGCAATTAATCTGAATGAAGTACAAATAAACGATTTCTGGAACTTAACAAGGCGAAGATATGGTTTTCAGATTATTTAAGTTGTAGTCATCAAGATAATAAAGAATGGAAGTTTCACAATAAACAAGGAGATTCATTTCTGTTAGTGAAGGAACTATATGCTTAGTGTTATTTTTTATATTCGTTTTTATGATGATAAGAAGACAGAAAACCTGAATATACTGAGTAACAATGGAAAACGCCTTATCCCTATTACAAAACAATATAGTACGACTTAGTTAATGAACATGCAATCTTTACATTAATCTTCGTGCTTTTAATTCAATTAAACGGCCAACCACCATGGGTTCGCACTATTATACATAAAAAAACATTGAGGACAGTGAGGTATCAAGAAATACTCCATATAATACAATATAGTGTTGTATAGGAATAAAAGGAAAATCAGATGATCAATAATCAAATAGGATAGAACTGTGAACACTAAACAGTATGGTTAAAATAATTTATAAACAGAAAAGATGCATTAAACCGTTTCTAAAACAAAAAGCCCTTTAGTATATATCAATAAGTAATTCCAGACATCGTTCGATGCTGCTTTTGTGTAAGTGCGAAAATCTGAACACTATCTGAAGTGATTAAAAGCAAGGCAATATAAAGATTTCCAAAAGACCCCTTATTACATTTTACTCACCTTAATGAGCTTACATGATAATTGAACAAACAAAACTTTCCATCAGGCGGTATAAACGATAAGATTCTTTCTCTCTTCCAGCGTGAGAAGCGAATACAAGGATGAAGGTTGGCATCATCAATCAGCCGATGATTTGTGAAAGCCAGTGTTATATCTGGAGTTCCGGATAATTTAATTAGACATTCAACCTATTAGCGAACGATGAAAAATATGATTAAGTATTTGTCTGGATACTACTTACAAATAGTATTCATCTTGTGTACGATAACTGAATGCGACAGCCCATACACATTTCAAACAAATGACATACGGATGCATATAGTAAGAAAGTATACTAACTGCAGAGATACACTCAAGACTAGTCAAACTACATTTATAGACTTCCCAATGTACAATAAAAAAGAAGGTAGGGGAAGTATACTCACTCAAATATTCATTAAGATTAAAACTGTTCAGCTAAAATGAGGACCACAGATATTCTACTGCTAATATAATTACAGTGATAACGTAACCGAGCGATAAAGAGGAATATCAGCATCAACATCTATGGTTAAAAATATCTAACAAGAACGATTCCCGATACACTTTTTAACGTGTAATTCAGATTTAATGAGTCCTGTCGGGATTGTGATGGAATCTGCTATGTTTGAAGCGACTATGAGTTCACATAGTCTGCGAACGGAAAAAAGACTCTGTGACCAAAGACCAATAACCTAGATATTCTGATGCGTCCCAGCCCAGCTGACTAGAGAGAGAAGTTTAAGTTCGAAACGGGGAAATATATTCCGCAAGCAGCCAGAAGCACGAGCAACCACGACAATTCTATTCGGAACTATAATCATTTATATATTGGTTTGTGTTGTATTAATCTGCTCACTGTAATTTAGACACTTGATCCACCATGTAATTTTTTGTGTGAGTCTGATTGAGCACATGTCAATTTTTAATCTATTCTCCGATTGGTTGTAATACACACACAATCAATAATTTATCCATAGAGCAAGAACAAACATTGATGCAGAATAGTATGAATTCATATTATTTCGAGGTTTCTCGTCAGCTGCTTACAAACCAAAATTGTGATAGAATTTTTACATGGAGATAGTGTGAAAACATTTGACATAAATGAGTGTAAATAACTGGATTACAATAATAACTATATATATATATATGCTAGAAACAGGTCAGAGGTCAAAAGAGAGGGGTTAATCCAGGGTGGGTGGTGTAATAATTTAGTGAAGTTCATAAATTGTGTGATAATTGTAGAGATTAATGGAATTAAATAATGATAAGGTAGATTACGTAATAATAATTAAATAGAATTTGGAAAGTTAAGATAATTTAAGAGGATCAGGTGGTGGAAATGTGTGAATAAAATTTATTTTAAAAATTAGGTAATAGGGGGGAGTATAAAATATCTTAGAATAAGTAAATGAAAAAATAACCAAAACACAAAACAAACAGAAACAAAAAGATTACCAGGGTAGTGATAAGTTTATTTAAGTCTCTTTTTGAATGCATAAATCCGGTTTCAGTTTCTTAATTGCAATGGCTTCAGCAAAGCGGAGAGTGGTAGTAGTTCTTTGTCTATTGATAATTTTAAACGCGCGCATAATATCGACGGTATGCCCGGTGTCAAGTAGATGCCGAGCTATTGCACTGTTAAAAGCTTTAGTCCCTCGCAGCGTCAAGTTCTTCGGAATATGCTCAGAAATGCGAACCTGTACTCTTCTCTCAGTTCTTCCAATGTATGTGCTACGGCACGTATATGTGAATTGGTAAATGCAGTTGGAACAACTGAGGGGAGAGGACTTGTCGATCTTCGTTTGTTTCAGTGAGCAGTATGTTTTCCATAACGTAGTCAGTTTGGCTGCCGGGTAGGTCACTTTTAAAGCGGAATTAATTCTGTGATTGATAATTCCGGCGACTTCATCTCCTTTGAAGCACAAGGATAGGAAGCAGGTTTTCTTTTCAACTGTATCATGCTTAATCGGATGGTTTGTATTAGCATATTTGTGGATGAATTTATCCGGATATGCATTTTCACGTAGGCATTTGATGATTGTAGTAATTTCTTCTTCGAGGCATTCTTTTGAGCAGATTTTTCGTGCGCGGTCAAATTCATAAAGGGAACCAATTGCATGAAACTTATCCATACTTGATTAACACTCATAAATATATATGGATTTTTAAAACTCACACACTCTTGGTTTCCATGTGTGCTTGATTCCTGTACGCTTGCGAAGTTTACCAATCTTTAACAATAAACTACCTCTATAACTTATACGAATATTCGTCAAGATTAGAACGAATAGTTTGACAGTAATTGAGCGCCGAGTATAGAGAAGTCATTATATATTCGTCCAGCTAACGTTGGAATTAGTTAAATTTCGATCGCTGAGAATATTTCAAATATAATTTTCACATATAATGACTATCTCTATAACTGATGTTCAGGCTTTTGAGTAATCTCGAGTAAATCCATAATTCTACTAGGAGATTTAGCCTGCATTAAATACTCAGTTAACTGGATACTATTTATTGGAGTCAGATGTAGAGGATACTATCCTCTACACAACCACGACAAGTCTAGTCGGAAATATATTCATTTATATATTGGTTTGTACACTCATTTTTGATTAATAATCAGAATAAATCACATATATGGAAAATACTTCGTACAAGAATATTGTATGTTATACAGCATAAAATGTCATAGGGGAAAAGGAAACAAATACTACACTGAGTGATCATTAAGTTGAATTAAACGGAATCAATGTTGAATAAAAATCATCATGATTAATCACTCTAATTTTGACCTTTCATCCCGTCATGACAGAATCACCACTGGGTCCTTTTCTACATTTTTTCATAGCCACTCATCAGAATACTGTTCTTTAATCAGCATAAGATATATGAATTATATGTCGCGAAGAGTGAACTAAATGATACCCTAGGGAAGTTCAATAATTCTCACCCGTCAGTTACGTTGACAGGAGAGCTCAGAGTTTATTACTGTGTTTAACGGGAACGAAGATTAGATTATGTACGTTGTTACTGGCCTCTTTCTAATTATGTAACCGATCACTAACATTTGATATTTTCAATCAGACTTTATTACTTATTTGGACACATAAAAACTGGTACAAGGGGCACCAGGTATATAAGCGCCACACAAATCTCATTTGATTTGTGATGTGATACTGCCCTGGTGCCCAAACCGAAGCAGGTGGTTTTCTTAGAAGGCCACATCCGGAGCCTTCGACCTAAAGGTCTAATCCACAAGGCAGTGAAGTATCGTAAGGAGATGTAGTCTCATGGTAGTCGGTGACCAACGACCGGTTCATACGCCATTTGTTCCGTCAAGGTACTGGAGTCCATGTGCACTATTGGTTTGGAATCAGGGTTTTCCAACTCCCGTAGGTCGACTCTCCGTGTTCACCAAACTGTTTAAAAGGCCGGACATTCGCTTTTCGTCCTCTCAATTCCGTAAACAACACCCCCTCCACGAGAAGGCAGTGAGTAGGACTTTTTTTGCAGAGGCTATATACTCGTGGCCATGTAAGTGCATTTCGAGAGGGAGAGCGAACTCTCCCTACTCTCGGCCGCACCAGGGCATTTGTAGGTGACAGACTTATTTACTAAAGACCTATCTATTTGGTTGTAAACTAATTTATCGAATAACTAAAAATACAAATGTACAGCTTTAGCAAATGCTGTTATCAATGAAAACATCTGTTCACTGAGCCATTTCGTTAATGCTGATTACTGTTCTTGACCATTCAACAACAAAGATTACACTAAAGAACATATAAAGACCTACTGATCCGTGAATCTCCTTAGAAATTACATAACCAGAACGATCGATAATCGCGTCTATCTTTTCAATCAGGTCGAAATACGTTTCATTGCTAGTGTAGTTCACACCAGAACGTCTCCAACGTATATTCGATAACTGGTTTGTAGGGAGTGTGGACCCAATAATCGTGTTTTTTCCAGTAACCGCATCTGTTAATGATTGAAGGAAGTTGGGAGGACGCACAATTTCTTTTAGAATATTAGATTCGGTGGCCAGTGGGAAACCACCATCAAGCATTTCATCTAAAATCTAGTAGTATGAATTATTTTAACAAGGGGTATCTAACCTCGTATATTGAAACTACATTTTCTTTGATTGATGTTTCAGTAACGGATCCAAAATAATCTTCGATTATTGAATGAACGCAATCTAAAAACTCAATCACGAGTAAGGGAGGTACTAAGATAGTATGGATTATTAAATACTGACGACATACGCTCATTAACACACACAGCTAGAAAATATAAATTGTTGCGCAAAATATGAATGAGTGAATTGCTTGGAGTTTCTAGAATGGGTGGCACATCACCTGCTGCATATTTTGTGACGGCATCAAAAAAGGTATCGTAAACTGTCTTTGAAATGTTTTTTGTCCAGTGTTTTTCTAAACATATTTCACTATAAATGGATAAATGAGTAATTCGATGATTACTTCGACTGATTTATAATGAACAAGCTTTGCAACATATTTATACATTCATTAAAAAGTCTTGTAGTTCCTAATCACTGGATCTAACATAACTACTGAAATAGAAACAAAAAAGAGGAATCAGGATAATTTTATCCAACAGATAAAGAAAAAATTGTAAGTTAATACACTTACGAAGTCATATTTTACTTTATTCTCAATTATTAAGTACAGATTGACGAATCCAACTAAGGGTTAACGTAATTTTATATGGGTACTATTCTACGCTCTTAAAAATGTAGATAAGGACTAAAATCTGGTACGAGAACCTGTATCATCATTAACTTCTATTTGTCATATAAACTTTAAGGGATCGTAGCACTAAGAAAAAGACTCGATCACGAGCAAACGACTAATGGTTCTAATCTAATATAATTTACTTATTCCCTTTGGAACTAGTTTACAAGCAACTTGAAAAACAAGATTTGGATCAGGTCTGAAGGTCCATTGAGGGCAAATAGTGTAGCTATGTATAAGATAGGACTTTGCATTGGTTATTCACATCAATAAGTCTATTTCACCAGTTTTTTCACACAATCATCCTTTGTAAAAAAAACCTTACTATTCTGCGGACTAAAATTAACCAGTTACTTACATTTAAGGAAGGAACTCAAGATTAACATTGAAATAAGATGGATTAAACCATAATTTTTATGGTCTAATGCTTTACAACGAGTCAAGAGCACAAGCATGATGTCTTATTATACAATATGTAAGTTAGTCAAATCGTGGATAATCAGTTAGTAAATAATATCAGTTATTACGACAAGCATTTTTCAGATTCAAAATGAAAGCACTCCTTTAAAATCGAAAATAGCCTATACCTGTACTCACACTAGTAAATTGCTGAAGATGTCGTGAAACTAGTCTAGTGACGAAAAACTGGGTATAAAGCTCATTGATGAGATGAGTCCTACTCCACGCTTTCGATAGGAGGATGTTCGGTGACTCAATGCACAACCACCTCTTCTCAGGGCTGTGGTGGACCAAACAATATATGAACTCAAAAATGATAAAAGAGTTATTAAGTACAAATAGTAATGTTAATATATATCAGTTAAATGTTATAAACACAACAAAAATTAGAGACGTTACTTAATTCAGCAGGTTTGTATGTGTTCTGATTGAGTCTGGTACCAAAATCCACAATTATAGATGATTGAAGATTTCAGTAAGGTTGATGTTCTCCGAGTGGTATAACCAAATGTAAAATATGATATATTCCGATTATAGTCTATAAATGTAGACAGTATTTGATTTAAAGTTCAGTTAACACAATCACGTGGGAATGCAGAACAAAACGTGTGTATAGCAGTGTATTTGTTAGCAGTTAACAGATTGTCATACTATGAATGTAACACGACGGAAGAAAGTGTGTCCAGGGTCAAACACTTAAACAACACGTACAATCATTTAGTGATAAATGTACATGCATTAAAAAATTGACAGAATAAATACAAATAACGTGAAAAACTATTTACAAAATAAGCTTATCAGGCCTATCTCCAAATAGCTCCTCCCAGAATGTCCGGAGGTAACACTGGCTATAATAATAATAATAATAATGATAATAATAATAATAATAATAATAATAATAATAATAATAATAATAATAATAATAATAATAATAATAATAATAATAATAATAATAATAATAATAATAATAATAATAATAATAAATTGTAAGAATATGGCATATACATGTATGCAAAATAATATTTACAGTAATAACCAAAAAGAAAAGGTGAAGATAAGTATGACATGCACATTAGTAATATATAATGTGTTGTGTAAAATAGGATTGATGTAGCATAGCATAACAACCGCAAAAGAGATTGAAAATGCAGTCATTCAAAGTCTTGGTTTGCTAATTATAACAGCAATGTGCAAAACTGTTAATAAACCCATAAGAAAATTGAATTGTTTATTTTTTTATGTACAATTAATAAATAATTAACTAAAATTCACTCGTTTATTATTGTGACAGATTCTTTTCTGCTTTAAAAAAACTGACAAAACGAGTAATTGTGGAAAAATGTAACTAATTATATACACGTTTTAGAAAAATAGTAAATTTTATTGGGGAATTGGGTGAATTTAACAGTGTAATACATCGATAACTGTTTGTTTTGATTTTTTTATTCGACAAAATGTACATAATGTTTGAGTTTCTTTACAGTCCTGCCTGAACGTGTTAAGCAAGTAGGTTTGGTACTCGGTTTTTCATCCTCCTCTGCTCTAGTAGTGGTTAATGGGAGGGGTTGATTAATTGCAGTGCTATCTTTGTTTTGTTGCGCTTCGTAGAAGGCTGGCTTTATTCTATCAATAGCGATAGTCTCCTTCTTTCCGCACTCGTTGATTATAAAGTGTTTACTTGTTCTTTTGATTACTTGATGTGGTCCCTCGTAAGGTTGTTTTAGTGGCTTTTTAACAGCGTCAACTCGAACGAAGACAAATTTGCATGTTTCTAGGTTTTTGTCGAGTTGTATTTGATTATTATGTTCTCGCGGCGGTATTGCCTTGATTCTTTGCATTGTTTGTAGTAGATGACTAGCAAAACGACTTGGATCAGTTGGTACTGATGTGTCTGGGCCTACTAATTAACCTGGTAACGTAAGAGTTGTGCCGTAAACTAGTTCAGCAGCTGTGCAATCTATATCTTCTTTTATGGTTGAACGGATTCCTAGCAATACGAGTGGTAATGCGTCACTTCACTTTGATGTATCATTCTGTGCCATCAGCGAGCTTTTTAATTGGCGGTGAAACCTTTCGACCGGACCATTAGCTGTTGGATGATAGGCTGTTGTTTTTATGTGGTTCACACGCAGAAGTTATGTGAATTCCTGAAATAGGATAGATTGGAACTGGAGACCACGATCTGTAGTGACGATGGACGGTACTCCGTAGTTTGATATTCAAAGGTCAAGGGATGCGGCGGCTACTGTCTCTGCAGAGGTGTCGGCAAAATATGACATGCTATAGCCCATCTTGTGAACCGGTCCACTGCGGTGAGGATATGCGTGAATGAATTTGATGGTGGCAGTGGACCGACCATGTCTAGATGAATGTATTGGAAGCGTTTCTCTGGCAGAGGAAACTTCCCAACGGGACTGATTGTGTTTCTGAATTTTGCTGCGTTGACATTGTGTGCAGCTTCGGGTCCATCGTTTTATATCTGAGTTAATCTTCGACCACACGAAACGTTCAGTAATCAATTTAGTGGTGGCTCTGATTCCTGGATGTGAAAGTTCGTGCAGTTGTCGAAATACTTAACGTCGGCAGGTTTGAGGGACGAAGGGGCGATTGCTGCCCGTTGGAACGTCACAAATAATAGATGCGTTAGAGAAAGGAATGGGTACGTGTTTGAGAATCAAGTTAGACTTTTCTTTGCAGTTTTTTAGGTCTGCGTTGTTTACCCGTAATTTTGCAATTGCTTCAAGATCGACCTTTTATTTACATACCAGCGTATTTATATCCTTTCTTGATAGTGCATCGGCTACGACGTTGGTATGTCCTTTGACAAATTGGATATCTGTTGAAGATTTAGAGATGTAATCCAATTGTCGTGCTTCGCGAGGTGAATGTCGATCGTACGAGGTGTTGAATGAATAACACAGAGGTTTGTGGCCGGTCATGATGGTGAAAGTACGTCTTAGTAGTAAGAAATTAGTGTTTGACAGCTAAATAAATAGCGAGTAACTCCCGTCTGAAAGTACTATAACATTCGTGAGTTTGTGACAGTCTCTTGGAGAAGAACGCTACGGGAGTAGTCTTGTTGTTTACCTGCTGTTGCAATACTGCCCCAACGGCTTTTTGTGACGCATCCGTACACAGAGTCAGATGGGTTGCGGGGTCAGTATTTAGGTGTTGTAGCATAGTGGCGTTGGCGATCATGAACTTCGCTTTTTCGAATGCCATTTTGGCATCAGAAGGTAGCTTGAATATTTGATTCTTTTCTTTCTTCGTACCTTTTTTATCACTTTTCAGCAAATCTGTTAAAGGCTGTAATACATCTGCACAATATGGTAGATATCTCCGGTAGAAATTGCACGTTCCAAGGAAACGGTGTAATGATTTTACAGCAGTTGGTTCGGGGTAATTGATAATAGCTTCGACTTTTTTCGGAGTGGTTTAATGCCTTGAGGATCGATGTAATATCCTAAGAACTCCAAGGCTGGGACGCCGAATATACATTTAAAAGGGTTGATAACGACGCCATGCTTTTTAAAACGTTCGAAGAGGGTCTGTAGGTGCTGGACATGCTCTTCTATTGATGAGCTGGCGATCAAAACGTCGTCGATATAGGCGAATATTAAATCTAAACCTCTTGTAACATCGTCCATAAATCGTTGGAAGGTCTGGGTGGCATTTTTTAGTCCGAATAGCATTCTTAGGATCTCAAGCAGACCAGAAGGTGTAATGATGGCTGTTTTTTCAATGTCTTCTGGTGTCATCGGAATTTGATGGTATGCACGCACAAGGTCAAGCTTCGAGAAAATACATTTACCATGTAAGCTTAATGAAAAACCATGTATGTGTGGAATAGGGTACCTGTCAAGGATGGTTTGGTTATTCAAACGGCGATAATCACCACAAGAACGCCAGTCTTGGTCTTTCTTTGGTGCCATGAGCAATGGCGAGGCCCAAGGACTGTTAGTTTGTCTAATGATCTTAAGTTGCATCATATGTTCGAATTCTCTCTTAGCCAACTGCAACTTGTTTGGTGGTAATCTCCTCTCCCTGGCGCAAATGAGTGGACCAGTGGTGCTAATGTGGTGTTGCACATGATGTGCGTTGCATTCCTTTTGGTAGTCCGCTTTAGTTATGCACTCGTATTTCGTCAGGATTTCGGCGAAAAGGTTGTTTACAGGTTTCATTACTCGTACACCATGTATTTCATAGTCGGTGGTAAGTGTACCGTTTACCTGCAAACGTGTATTCTCGTCGATCAACTTCCTTTTGCTCACATCAGCTAGTAAACTATAGGCGCTGAGGAAATCGGCCCCGAGAATTTGTTGCTTGACTGGGGCGACTATAAAAACCCACGTAAATCTTCTACGGAGTCTGAGATCTAATATGAGGGATTGTTCACCGTAAGTTCTAATGACTGTGTTGTTAGCCGCGATAAGAGACAGTTTGGTACGTGTCGTTTGTTGTCATCGTGAGAGGTGAAGTGGGACGATGCTGATTTCTGCTCCTGTGTCGACTAAAAATTCTGAGCCAGATATACGGTCCCTGATGTGAAAAAGGCGGCTAACGTGTTGGCCAGTAACAGACGCCGCCATTACTGTCTGACTGGCCGGTTACCCTGGTTTTCTTGCTTGTTTGTTGTAAAGTTGCACGGTTGGGTGCAACGAAGTGCTTTCTCACCATACTTCTAATGATACCAATAAATACCAGCAGCCCGCTTGCGTGATCTAGGGCGCTGTCTGGACATTGATCGTTTTCTGGATGTGGATCTAGTAGGTCGGGACTGAATCGTTGCTATAGTTGCCTGCAGTGACGCTAACTGCGTGGTCAACTGCGTTAACTACTGTTGGATGTTGAATGCGGTGTTCGTATCGTCTTTACCAGAAGTTTGTATCGCATTTAGGCAATGACTGTCAGGGTAGATCCCCATCATCTTGTCCGCCATATCTGCTAGGTCTTCTAGATTGACGGAACCTCCCGACACAGTAAGAGTCTCTCACGTTATGTGGTAATCGTTGGAATCACACTTGTTTAAGTAATGAATCATCTCATTTATATGGACCCGCTAACTGTTGCATATGTTGTAGCAACTGTGACGGCTTCGTGTCCCCTAGTTCTCAAGATGTGAGCAGTTGCTGTAGTCGTTTTTCATCAGAGTGATGTACGTTGGATCACGGCAGCTTTAGTTTTGTCATCAGGATCAGTCTCTGGTACATGGTCGATCAAATCCCCGACTTCCGTAGCGATTTCGATGGGAAGTGCGCCGACAACAGGCATGTTTGGTCGCCTGGGAGCGTATGCCTCTCGCTAAGAATAAGGCTTCTACGTGCGCGAACCAGATCCTGGGGTTTTTAGCACTGTATGCAGGTAGTCTGAACTCGGAAATAGCATTAACTAAGCTTAAAATGTTATCATCTGAATGTGATGAGTTGAGGGGATTCACTGGGGGACAATCGGTATTAGTAAGTTTATTTGGGGAGTGCATAATGTGAAAAAACAAACTAGTGTGTCAAGTAAAAATGTAAGCAATACAACGACTATAATACACTCGAGGCTCACCAGATAATTGTAACGTCTCTAACTTTTGTTGTGTTCATAACATTTAACTGATATATATTAACATTACTATTTGTACTTAATAACTCTGTTATCATTATTGAGTTCATATATTGTTTGGTCCCCCCAGTGAATCCCCTGAACTCATCATATTCAAATGATAATAAAAATCGAATACAACTCGACAAAAACCTAGAAACATGCAAATTTGTCTTCGTTCGAGTTGACGCTGTTAAAAAGCCACTAAAACAACCTTACGAGGGACCACATCAAGTAATCAAAAGAACAAGTAAACACTTTATAATCAACAAGTGCGGAAAGAAGGAGACTATCGCTATTGATAGAATAAAGCCAGCCTTCTACGAAGCGCAACAAGACAAAGAAGATAGCACTGTAATTAATGGCGAGACTCTAATTTAGGGACGAGTCAATAAGAAGCGTTTGAGCAATTTCAAGGTCATGGAGACAAGTTCAACACGCGATGCTAACATACGATCGGTTCACAGCGGATTTTAGAGAGTAGGTGATTAATGAGAGGTTACAACAGATGGGACGGCGAGACTCTAATTTAGGGACGAGCCAATCAGAAGCGTTTGAGCGATTTCAATTATTAGTCAATTAGAAGACAATATAAAGTAAAAATATATAACAGGAAAGTAATGAATTATAGTAGATATTCTTCTTTTACCTGATTTAAATACCTGTTAAAGTTTGATAAAGGCTCAGAAGTTCTGAATTGATAATGCATATGGTATAGAAACTCGTCCATAGGGTTAGGGTTAGAGACTAGGGTTAGGTTTAAGATTAGGGTTAGGTTAGGGTAGGGTTTAGGGTGCTAACATACGATCGGTTTACATCGGATTTTATAGAAGAGGTGTTTATTGAAATGCTACAACCCTAACCTAAACCGTAATCATATGGACGAGTTCCTATACCATATGCATTATGAATTCAGAACCTCTGAAACTTTATGAAACCTTAACAAGTTTTTAAATCAAGTAAAAGAAGAATATCCACTGTAATTCATTACTAACTTACAATATATTTTCACTTTATAGTTACTGTCTCCTGATTGGCTAATGATTGTCAAGGTCATTTAAGATTCGTCCAAAGGTCGTCCTTAAATTAGAGTCTCGCCCAATTAATCAACCCCTCTCATTAATTACTACTAGAGCAGAGGAGGATGAAAAACCGAGTACCAAACCTACTTGCTTAACACGTTCAGGCAGGACTGTAAAGAAACTCAAACATTATGTACATTTTGTCGAATAAAAAAATCAAAACAAACAGTTATCGATGTAATAAATGCAAGAAAGAGTTTAAAGAAAAAGAAAAAAAAATTATTAAGATATAGCAAAGGGATATTAATCACCAAGGCAAGGAAAGATTAATAACCATCTCCTTTTGAACACATAAATCATTCTTCTGAAGTTTGCTGAGGCAGTTGCTATCAGGCGCCAAAAGCCTGATTTATGTGTTCAAAAGGAGATGGTTATTAACCTTTCCTTGCCTTGGTGATTAATATCCCTTTGTTATATCTTAATAATTTTTTCTTTTTCTTTAAACTCTTTCTTGCATTTATTACACCATTATTTTATTAACTGAACTTTACTCATTTTATTCCTATCAAGGTTTATTTGTTTCTAACCGTTTGAACTGTTATCACAATGTTCTTTCATCACATAAGGTATATATTTACAATATTCAGTCTATTAAATTTATTTACACTCTTGCTATACTATATGAATATGTCTTTAATATAACTTCCAATCAAACTCTTTTATGTAAGTAATTTAAACCCATTAATTATGATTTCAAATATCACAGGTTGTAAGCAGCTGACGAGAACCAACGAAATCAAAATGAATTCATGCTATTCTGCTAGAATGTTTGTTCTTGCTCTTTTCAAAATGATAAAGGAACTATGTGTATGAAGTTATCGATGTATTACACTGTTAAATTCACCCAATTCCCCAATAAAATTTACTATTTTTCTAAAACGTGTATATAATTAGTTACATTTTTCCACAATTACTCGTTTTGTCAGTTTTTTTAAAGCAGAAAAGAATCTGTCACAATAATAAACGAGTGAATTTTAGTTAATTATTTATTAATTGTACATAAAAAAATAAACAATTCAATTTTCTTATGGGTTTATTAACAGTTTTGCACATTGCTGTTATAATTAGCAAACCAAGACTTTGAATGACTGCATTTTCAATCTCTTTTGCGGTTGTTATGCTATGCTACATCAATCCTATTTTACACAACACATTATATATTACTAATGTGCATGTCATACTTATCTTCACCTTTTCTTTTTGGTTATTACTGTAAATATTATTTTGCATACATGTATATGCCATATTCTTACAATTTATTATTATTATTATAGCCAGTGTTACCTCCGGACATTCTGGGAGGAGCTATTTGGAGATAGGCCTGATAAGCTTATTTTGTAAATAGTTTTTCACGTTATTTGTATTTATTCTGTCAATTTTTTAATGCATGTACATTTGTCATTAAATGGTGGCAACATTTTATGAGTGATATAGAGGTGTCATAGTATAGTTGCGTGCAGCCACGAATGTCTGATTGATGTTATCAACTTGGATAATAGGTCTCAGTGGCTTCGACATATTTCACGAATGTCTCAAGAGGTTTCACGTAGCACATGATTTCATTACGGTAGTGAGATTTATAGATAATTGAGGTACTCAGTTTATAAAAGGATCAAAATGTACGAAAAGAACATATAATACTTTTATGCTTCGATCAATTATAACCATCTAACAGAGGCTTTAAAAACCCCTCAATCTACTGGTTTGAAATTATTGATGGCTTAAGTTCTCAAGACTAAAGTTACTGTCAGTTCTTAAGAATCACAATTTTTTGACTGGAGTACGATGTTATTTAAACGGTTAATTGAACACCTAAAAGTACAGCGAGTTGTAAAAACTAATTTTGTCTAGGGCGACACACCTAATATTTTCACTCCTGATAGCTGTTTTAATTAAATTGTGATTGCTGCTTACTTAGTGAGGATAATAGGACACCAATTACCGAGTTGTTTTGTAACTCATTTGATATTAATGTAAAAATCATGTTGCAGAGACGATTTTTGGAAGACCATTCAGACTAGAGCTATCGACCTGGACTTTGAGCGGAATTCACACCTCAGTAGATGGTAATTAATGTTGTTATCAAGAACAACACAAAAATTGTTTACATTTAGTTTCCAATGTGCTTAATACTCATTAATGAGTAATACTATAAGTTAATAATACATCTTATGATCTGAAGCTTAGCCAACGGTAAGCGTGGGTAAATACAAAATTGTATAGCTAATATAGTATATCGTATCAATAAATTCTTACGTTAATGACAAAAGTAATCCTCTAATTTGAAGTAGTTAATGTACAGTCTTATATCTCAACTCAAAACTATGTATATATCGACAAACCCCAATTAGCTAGAGTTTGAGTTTTGTTGGATATTTTGTAGTATTAAAATACACAGTGACCAACTTTTATGAACACAGTTATAGAGATAAAATAACTTCTCTGAGATCTAGCTTAGTAACGCATCGTTACAAAAACTCCGGTCTAAACCTTTTTTGGTATCGACTCAATGGTCCAATCTAGTACATAATACATTGCGAATTTTTGCGTGATTTTCTGGCATTAACGAGAAGGAGCCTACTGACAATGCTAAGAATTTTTGACTGAAGTAGCGTTCCATGTTGGGCATATACGTATTGTGAAAAAGTAAGATACCACCATAATGTTCATCTCACAATGACCGACCTTAAAGAACTGCCTTCCGATTCATCGACATGGCCATCCTGACTGAACAGCCGCGTTAAAACGATTGAGGGGGAGAGTACTGTGTAGCCAATGAAACGTCACCGGGTACTAGTCAAGTAATCTAACCGTTGAGTCATTGAATGCTTCTCCGATCTTCCGCAAGGTCAAGAACAAGCAGAGACCATCAGTTGATTACACGCTATGGACTGGCTTCAATGGGGTGTGATCGTACTGTTTTTCTGTACCTAATCTTGCTAATATATATTTCTCTAATGACGTCGTCAAAGCAGCCATAATACCGGGATACAACGAAAAGTTGATCCAAGTTAAGTTCTGACCGCAAGGTGTGAGTATGATGTTAGCTGGTTGGCCACAACATTTCAGTCTAATTGGAGTAGTTGGGATAATTAGAAGCATTCGAAGAGACATCGTGGTTGCTGGTAATATCGAAAAGAACAAATATTATTAAGGCGTCGATTCCTGAACTGCTAACATCTAAGTGGAGATCACTTAATACTAATCTTTAGGATCGACCAGGAAATACTGAACGGAAACTTGTTGAAATTCTTTGCGCTGAGAATTTCCTCATCCCACCTTTGATATTTTGGCTTCAGCCTTGGATGCCAGCTCAGTGGTGTGGAGGTTGATCGTTCGCGTGTGATACCGAAGGTCCTGTGTTTCGAGTCCAACGTGTGAGATCGTGTATGTGCACTGTCATAAAGTCTTACTCCAAAACGAAATAGCCATCCAGTTCTTCCTGGTTTTCAGTGATGATCTAGCTCAGATCGACTCGTAATTTTAACTGTAAAAATTCGATAATCCCCACATTGATAGTAATTTCTCTTTAACTAATTTCTCAACTACTGGTCCATTCGTGGCTACCAAAGTACGAACTGGACAGTTCTTCTGATAACTGGTTGGTGAATTTGACCACTTCCAAATGTCATAACATGTAGGGTTTAATTTGTCCTACAGATATACTACTAGAACCGTAAACAAGATACTAGCAGTCACGGAGTCTATGTGAAAGCTGTAGTGAGAACAAGGACAACTTGGCTTTAAACCTTATCGTTTCTGAACGTAAAGACAATTAGATTATTGCAATAGTTCAGGAAATCACAGTTATTAAGCGAAACACACAAACATATCGATCAGTATTGAGTGCCTTGTCGAAATGAATAAAATTATGAATCACACTGATATAGTAGGATAATAATGTCCCTCAGTTGGTAGGTAGCATGCAACAGGGATAGTTTACAAACACATCAGACCAGCGCAAAATGGTGGGCGCCTAAACAACGATTTGATCCATTAAGTATGGAAATAACTAACATAACAAGCTTTTCAGTTAGCTTGTTCCCTGATGACCCTGATGAGGGACCCTTTCGAACTTGTGAGTCTGCAGTAACTCCATTTTCTGCTACTTACTCCGGAAAGTGTTAAAGAACAGAGTATAGCTTATCGAAAAACTTCAGGTCATTACATATTTAAAAGTTAAAGGTGTATGACCGACGTTTTCCTCAATGATTTACCTGAAGAAAATCTTTTTCTGTGAATGCTCCCCACTTGATCATTGGTCAGGCTTTCTATGAGCCCTTAAATTGGAAGGGTTATAGTAAATCTGCCTCGAGTTTTTCGAAAATTGTGGAATAGCTTGTTAGGAGCAGATGGAACTTGCTCTTATTTAAGTATAACGGGGTGAGTACTATTAGATTCTTGTTATCTGGCAGACGGTATGAAATTCCAGATGTTCAGCATTATCCCAAGTTCAACTTGGACTTCACACCTTTCATATGATTGGAGCTGTGGTGGTGAGTGTTTTTTAATGTATATCGTTTGGTTGACCATTTTTAGAAGTGGGAGTTCAGTGTTTCAGAAAGTTTCAAGATGAAAGGGCAATCACCGCCAGGATTGTTGATGGCACAAACTTCTTGGTCGCTGATCTTTATCTACAACATAAGTTCACAAAAACGGTTTAGTTTGCGTGGATATTTCCGACTTTGAAAGACATACTCCATAGTTTCACCTATTTTAGTAAAGCGCTACGATACGATTCGTTTGTTAATATCTTTCACTTATTGCAAGCAATATATTTTGACTGAAGCGCAAACACTGCTAGACTTTTCAGGCACGATTTGACGTTTTACAGACATGTCGGTGGCCTTCCAAACACAACTTCGAACTAATTGGTCCCAGACTTCTTATTTGACTGGGTACGTATGCTTCGATTATAAAGAAATTGCGTGCAATGGCGGTGTCAAAATTCAAGCACCTGCGGGACTTTAAGACCTACCACTGCACTGGTGCCAGCTCGACAGCTGGTATAATTTGTGAGTTCTTACTAACATCACAGTGGTGGACTGCGATAAAAAATAATTAAATAAAGATTTGATAGAACACTTATAATCATTATTAGGAATTCCGAAACAGTGAAAGACGATGGTTAGAAAAGAAGGGACAGATCAAAGGAAATAATGTCATTCTTAGACAAGAATACTTTGATGTTTCTGAATAAAGAGATTGTCGTATATGATAGGTAAGTATGATTATGTTAACGAATGAAGCGACTGCTTTCTATATAAAGCGGTTCACACTTTAAACTCATGCGAAGAAACTCAAACTCTTGATAAATACCAGAGACTAGATTTCGCAAAAAATGAAATCGTTTATCATTCACCGACTGAAAAGGACTAATGAAGCTGATATGGCTGAGTCAAAATGACAAATGTCGACTGGAGTGGATGATATATAATAGAACAACTGAATAAATCGAGTGTACAGTATGAAAAGGGATTGGGACAGTAGTTGTTACTTGTCCACCACTGATTATTATTATTATTATTATTATTATTATATTATTATAATTAGCTTAATTCAACATTATATTTTTGGTACAACATAGAATTCTCAGCATAAAGTATTTCAACAAGTTTCCCTTTCTTATATCTTGATCTATTTTGACGATAAATTTGAATGATGTTAGGAGTTCGGTAATCCACATTTGATTAATGTTCGTTCGTTTCAATGCATATTGCCAGCCACCATGATGTCGATGATTGTACCTTTTTGTATCACGTATAGCAAAAGGTTGTAAACTTTGCATAAACGCGCCTGAATAGATTGTGCGCACAATAGACATAATGATGTGCTAAAACAAACAACAAAACAAATAACTTGATGAAATATCTAGATCGGAGTAACATGTGGCCCAGATATTCAAGCAGGCCGCCAGTCACATGGTCTTCAGCTACACCCCCCTTCACAGCCCATAGGGGATCGGAAGAAAAGTTTTCAACACGGATATTGTCATTTGGAAGTATCTTTGTTTCATGAATGTAAATCCCACACGAATTGTATTGTTAAGTATAGTTTTATTAATTTCAGACTTGTTGTAACTATGAGGCACAATAAATAGATGCGAGTAAACTGTTCAGTTAACATGGTTATGGTGATGTTGTTGTTCCACACATTTTCAGGAGGACCGTATGTTGACTTAGTAATCACATTTAGGATGAGAGAGCTGATGTGTCTGTTGTCCATGAATGGTGGTATTTTCAAGCATATGACTTGTAATGAGTTTTATATTTCATTGTCAAGAGGTAATTAGTATAGTTTTCACACACTTCTGAAAACGAATATGGAGTGAACCTTGACGTGTCTGAAGTTATTTAGATTTGTATGTCTCATGTTTGGTAAGCCAGTCTCAGGCATCCCCGAAACCTTTTCTGAAAGTGTGACGAGGGTTTTACGGTGCTGCTTATCATCGAGGTGTATAGGGGTCATGTTAACCTGGATGATGTTATTGGGCTTCGTGTCTTTGAGCTTAATTGTGTGCAATGTTTGAACTTTTGTTGACAGTAATTACGTTGACTTCATGAAAGGCTTAGTGCATTGACGGAGTATGAGTACGAAACTAAGGTGTTGGTTGTTGTCGCGGCTTTGGAGATGATGGTTGTCGTTCGTGTAGCCTAATTTTACTTCGGATTCGGTCTTAGGGTAGCGGCTATGGTATATAGCATGGTTTTTACGTGTTGATACTGTTAGTTGGTGGTGGTTTTGGCACACTAATGGCTAAAAATATATCATGCACCATGATATGTATTGTGAATGGAAGGGATGTCGAGAAAGACAAAAAGAATCTTTAGACCACAATGTTAATTTCACGGCCATAATAAAAATAAATCGAATCCAAGTAGCTGTCGAACGTCATAACATACAGCTTCACATCAACCCATGTGTCAGTTTGTAGTAACTTCTAAATACTAAGAGCTACTTTATACGGTGGTTAATGTCCTGATTGCTCGTGTCCATAACTATATTGTCAAAATTTATCAACTTGTGTTGTGTCTTTAAAGCTGCTTAAGTGAACCACCGTGGTACGTACATAAATGACTGCCACACTTAGTAGTATGGTATCAAAGTATGTTAGAGCACAGTTCATTTTAGAATAACTTGATGTTCAATAAGCTACAGTGGGGCATGAGTAAATGAGCTGTTGTGCATAAACTTGTGTATATCATTTCACAGTGTTTCCGGGCCATTGTATAAACATAAGCGACATAATTAACAGTCGTTCACAACCAAGTCAGCTGATCAGGTAATGTGATGTGCTAGCAGGTTTAATTGTTGGGTTATAGTATCTACTGATGAGCTGCACCGCATAGTAGGATTTACATAAATTTTAACGAGTCTGAGGGATTGATGTAAGACCGGACGCAGTCAGTCGAGTAGATCGGAGTACTGTTGTAGGTCCTACCCGCTTCTCATACATAGTTGGTTAGGAAACGGCACG